CAAAATATGGTATATCCATACAACAGAATATCGCTGAGCCACAAAAAAGAACGAAGTACTGACACATGCCACGCCATGCCATGGATGAACCCTGAAACATTATACTACGCAAAAGAAGCCAGTCACAACACATATTGTATGATTCCATTTATATGAAATGTCCAGAATAGGCAGATCCAGAGACAGAAAACAGACTAGCAGTTTCCGGGCTGCAGGGGGATGGGAAGGGTCAGAGGTTACTGTTAATGGATATGGGGCTTCTTTTTTGGGATGATGAAAATGTTCTGGAATTAGATAGTTGTGATGGTTGCACAACCTTGTGAATATACTGAAAATTACTAAAATAGCTTACCCTTTAAACGGGTAAGTTTTATGGTATGTGAATTATACCTCAATTAAAAGAAAAGAAAAAGCTTCCACCTTCTACAGATTTGAGTATGACTGCTGGAGGGAACCATTAACGAATTGGAGCGCATTCTCATCCCTCAGGTATGCTGATGCTGAGGCTGAGAATTCACTGCTCAAAACTTACACATACTATTAACTCTTCAAGCATATGACTCAAAATGATATCAAGTATTTCAACATTTTCCTCATCAGTAAAGCAAAATATTTCATTTACACATGTAAAATTGCTCTTATCCAACTTTTTAGATTTTGCTGTTTTTAGAATACTGTATAAACGAGGTGAAACATCTGGAACAGATAGGATTTACTCCTACTCAGTGTGTACTTTGGAAACATTTTCTCATCCTCATCCCTTCTTCCCACAAACACTTAGTGAGCACTAACTATGTGCACAGTGCTCTACCAGGCACCGGGTGTACAGTGGCCAGTGCAGTTAAATGTCCCTGCTGCTCTGGAGCTGCTGATGTGCTGGAGGCAGCTCAACCACAAACAAAGAAACAAGAGATCATCAGAGTGAATGGCGACCTGGAAGAAAATAACAATGGAGTAACTCGACTTAGGGCCCAGAGGGCACCACCACACAAGATGTCCCCACCCTTGGTCCTATCTGGGCACAGCAGGAGCCGAAACACAGTAGGAGTGAAAACACCGCAGACACAGCATCACTGTGCCTCCCAATGGGGAGTCATAAGCGTCTTCTGTCTCTGAAACATGGAGAAATGGAACTCAGGCATGTGCCTCCCAATCCGCCTTCCAAACGCACGTGGGCAAATAACATTCAACAGCACAGGGGGTTATTTTATTATTTATTTATTTTAATACAAAGCTTTGGCATTAGCAATTTTATGAAAAAATAAAATGTACTAAAAATAAATGCTTGTGTGGCATGATTGGTAAATGATGCACAAAAATAGGTTCTTTTTTCCTTCAAGGCAATCAGTCAGAAAGCAGTTTTTTCCTTCTTCAAAACCATTCTACCCTACGGAATAAAAGGAAAAAAGAGGTCAAGAATTAGTTAAAGGGTAGTTGTCAATGTTACAAAATAACAGAGAAAGTGATCCTAACTGAAGGGCGGCCTGGGGCTGTCCCCAACTATTTCCCACCCCACCTGGTTAAAGGCAGTAAGTCATTAGCACTTTCCTGATCTCAGTGCTTCAGATTCGGGGTCAAATGGCTCAGCCACCTTAGATGTGTGTTCGGGTCAAATGGCTCAGTCACCTTAGATGTGTGTTCGGACTTCCAAAAGGAATGCAGGGAAAAAAAGTACAGGCTGACAGTATCTTGTTTAAAAAAGCAAGGACAATTATCCTACAATTTACAACTTTCCCTGATTTGAGCACATTTGCTGAATGTCCTGAAATCTGTAGCTGTTGTCTTTAAAATATGCTCCTTATTCATACCTCATACAAGAATGTCATTAATTATTCTGAAATAAGATTTGAAGAGTACAGACTTTCAGGGTTACATGGCCTATTACAGGAGCCCCCAGACTCTGTGTGTGTGTGTTCGTGTGTGTGTGTGTCTGTCTGTGTTCACGTGTGCGCGCACACGCACGTGCCTACATCACGTGCCTAAAGGTACCTGAAGTCTCCTGAGGTTTCCTGCGCTGTCCTCAGGCTAACACTGGCCCCCTGCAGCTGGCCCCTGGGACGCCCAGGCTTCCTGAGCCCTTGTACAGTCTGGTTCAATTTCCTGGTTTCTAAATCATGTCTTCAGTTCTGCTCTCTTCTCTCTCTGCTGAGTTCCAGATCCAGATTTCAAACCCTCTGTGGTGATCATACACCTCTCCAGCATCATTTGATTTCATCTCCTCCCCATCACCTTGACTTCCTCCTGCAACTCTATTTTCCCTTAAGCTATCTTCCTGAAAAACCTCAGACATTATCCACTGTTTCTAAGTCCAAACTGTGCAGTAGCCTCCCGCCACCACCACCTACAGAAGACACATCAAACCACACAACTCCTTGAACCTGCTCTGCTTTTTCCTCACTCTGTGCCCTAGTTATGCATGGCCTGGTTTCTAAGTCACTCCCTCCAGGAAGCCTTTTTCAACTCCCCCAGGGCAAAAGTGGCAGTTCCCCTGTGTCTGTGACACTGAGGGGCTGTGCTGCTTCATACTGTGCTCGGTCCCCAGGCACTGCCCTCCTTGCTCTCCCCACCTCCACCAGCGCCGGTAAGTGCAGAGCACTGAGCGGTGTAGCCCCTTTCTCCCCAGCGCTCCTTCAGGGCAGGGTCTGGCGCCCGGGGAGCGCTGGCAAGATGATGCCTAAGTGATGGCATTCACATAAAGCTCTATACTTTATTGTAGTTCATATTTAAGATAACACTTTGTTTTACTCAGAAAACTGGATATTAGATATAATTTCTTTATCTAATATATATATTTACAATATATTAATGGGCAAATTAAGATATTTAAAGTTATTTTGCTGCCTTTCTATGAAATTATCAACAACTAATGAAGCCAAAATATTAAAAATACTTCTAAAAAATAAAAAAATGACCACTCACGGACAGCACAGAAGTCCAATCAAAGGTCCTTGCAACCTCTAACCCTCTTTCTCTCATCACGTCTTTAGAAACCCCAATTTCCTGTCCTCAGCCATGTTATTCGGAGCCCTTCAAGGCTCTGCAGAGTAGTCAAAGATAAGCGGTGTCAAGGGAAGAGCTGGAACCCGAAATATTGGGCGTGGATCCCACGCCCTTCTTCCCACGGCATTTCTCAGGGGCCAGTAGGCCCCTCTCGGCCTCAGGTCACTCCTTGTGTATGTCTGTCAGCTCAGAGTGGCTAAAAGGAGAAGTAAATACTAAGAGGAAGAATAGGATTTATTATCAAACTGGGAGCAAGTTCACATCTTTGCTGGCACAGCTACCAGAAAGGCTGTCTCAGGAAAATAACAAACAATCCGAAATGGGTGTTAGTGTGAGCAAAAGATATTAGACAACTAAAAATTCAAAATTCTTTAGATCAGTGTTTCTCAAACCTTGGGTTGCAACCTATTAATGGATTGTAAAGTCAATGTAGGATTTCTTGACTAGCATTAACAACAACAGCCAAGTATAGAGAAGAATAGATCAGAGAATATTGCACGAAGTAAGGAAAATGGGAAACTTCTGTTTCAGTTATACATGTGGGAGCACTGGGTCACAATGTAAAATGTATTTTCCTTTTCTTTCTTTTTTAAAGATTGGCACCTGACCTAACAACTGTTGCCAATCTTCTTTTTTTTTCCTGCTTTTTCTCCCCAAATCCCCTCAGCACATAGTATAATTCAGCTGTAGGTCCTTCTGGTTGTGCTGTGTGGGACACTGCCTCAGCATGGCCTGATGAGCGGTGCCATGTCCATGCCCAGGATCTAAAGTGGTGAAACCCTGGGCCGCCTAAGCAGAGCGCATGAACTTAACCACTCGGCCACGGGTCTGGCCCCTAAAATGTATTTCTTACAATGGGAGATGGTAAAAAAAAAAAAAAAGTTTTAAAAACATTGCTTTTGATACTTAAGGTTTTCAAAGAGGCAGCCAGCAGAGAACCCAATCCCTCTCCTCAGGCTCTGATCTCGCCTAGGAAGGGACCATTTAGGACAGACAACTTAAGAGGGACTCAGAACTGGAAGGCGTCTTAGACTTCCACCTGACGCAGGGTCTCCCTCTGAACAGCTCCGGCCTTGTAGCTTCTGTCTCAATAAGCAGGTCCTGGCAAGCTCACTAGCTTTCAAGACATCCTGTGTCAAGGGTGGACAACTCTGGCTGGCAGAAAGTTCTTTCTGACCTCAAGTGGAAATCTATGTCCTTGCAGATGTCTCCAGAACTACACAGTAAGTATCACCTTCTGTGTGCACTGGTTAGTCACCATGGCACTACTACGAGTATTAAACGGGGGCAATGCGGGTAGTAAACACAGCCCAGTACTTGTTCTTGGTAGACACTCAATAAACAGTAGCCATCCTCATCTTTGGGAGTCCTTCAAATACCTGGAGACACCTCTCACAGCACTCAGTCTTCTCTTTCCTAAGCTAAGCATCCCCAAGATATCAAATGATTAAGTTTTCAGACCCTTTCATACTGAGATATGTCAATGTTGCTCTTCAAGAGTCTCAGCAGAACAATTCAGAAACAGTGAGTAGAGAGTAAAATAGACACATGGATTCCTTTGACCTAGTCTATAAATTTCTCCCACTACGCTTTAGAGGACAGCTCATGGGGAGCACTGGGGGGACAACCGAAGCCCCTGACCGGCTGCAGCTCCAGGGCTTCTTGGTCTTGGGTTATGCTCTAGGATTTCACATTTGTTCCAGTTATTTTGTCACGTTAACCACATCAGATTCATTTCCTCCTGCTGAGACTATTCTGAATCTTGAACATCTGGGCTACTCTTGTCTGCAAATCTTAGGACATGATTTCTATGACTCAGAATTTAGGAACTGAGAAAGGGTTGTAGAGGACACCCAGCTGAACCTCCCATCAACCCAACCTCTCTCCTACATCACCCACGCATCTTATAACTTGTTCCTCAAAGAAAAACAACAGTGAAAATATTTACTTTTCTTATGTTAAGATAGAAACAGACTGATGCAAATATAAGCTGGTAAATGTTGGGATTTAACAAAGTTTATTTGAATAATGAAGTAGAGCAGGAAACCTCCTCTGGGAATTGAAGTTTAATAACTTTGCTTTAGGTACTAACAGAGGTATGAGAAGCTAATATATATGAATATATTTACCTTGCGTTTATTTGCTTCTTTGACTACTACCCTGTTTATATTTGCAAAGTCTCAAAATTCATTAGATTTGTTCTCAGTGTTAAAAAAAATTAAAGCACAATTAGTTATGGTTGAATACCTAAACAGTATTTCATCACAACACAAGGGAAGTGACTCCAGATCCATGGACTTCTGAGTGAAGCCAATAGCATCAAGCCCTGGATAAAGGTGCAGAGCATGGTGAGGGCGGAGGGGGCGCTTTCACCCTTAGCGGGGCAGCGAGCCACACCCTGAGGGGGAGGCTGGCCCCCGGGGTTCCACATGCCTGCTCTTACTTCTGGCCTGTACTGCTTCATCTTATCCACAGGGTTTCACCAGCGACTACACTGGTTCAAGGTCTTGCTGAAATCACAGTACACAAGTTCAGTGTAACTGTTAGAAAAGTAAACTATAATAGTAGCAATGGGCGTAGACGTGAAGTTTACTATTAATTTCTAAACAAATAACTAACGTGAAAACATGGAATCTATTTACGTAGAGGACTATCTTACAAACGGATGAGGTTACCCAGAAAATTAAAACAGAGCAATTAAATTCAAAAGGCGATCTCCTTTTGGCTCTAAGCTTTTGGTAAAGGCAAAAAGGGAAATAAGATAAATTTCAAAGAATTCATTAATAATAATTAAATTTTTTGCTAAAATAAGCTTTTCTCTGGAATTAAAATCACATAAGAAGTTTTCATCAATGTTTCTGGGAAAGAGACATTGAGTAAGAGTTGATTATTATCTTTTATTCCCTACAATTAAAACAGCCTTTAAAAAAGTTAAGTAACTCATGTTATTTAAAAAAATCAACACATAAAAGCACAATAGGAGGGAAAAACATCAGTCAAAATTCTACTAAATTAAAAATAAGCACCATTAATATTTTGGTGACCACCCTTTTATTTATACATAAATGTGTACATACACATACACACACACACACACAGACACACTTTCTCTCTTTCTAAATGGGATCATGAAAATTGTCGGCTCTGAAGAGTGGTTTTGACTGAAGGCACAGAAATAATATCAAATGAACAACTGCAGTATCAACCCTCCACGAAAGCCAGTGGGAGAAGGGTTGGAATAAGACATGGATCTAAGATCTCTGACTTAGATCTAAGTGATGCAGGCATTTATGGAACTGAAATATTACTTTGATTACTGACATGTAACATGTCTACTGAGCATTCTCTAAAATATCTGCTGCACGAACTGAGCATCTGGCAGACTGTGAGCGGCAGGCAGCAAGGTGACCACTAAATTACTTAATTAGTCTCTGAAAGTGCCCTGAGCGCCACTACTCGCTGTGATTGGCTTTAGCTCATTTGTGAAGATTTTAAGAAGCGGGCTTACATTGTCATCTAGTCTAATGGGTCAGGATGGGAGTAAGCAAAAGAGGTGATCACAGGTGAAATAAATATTTCCCTCTGAACTGAGGTTTGAATCGTAGGCACTCACAGAGCTCCTATGATTCTGTTTTCTATTTCATGGAAGAAAATTACATTCATTTGCCAAATGATGAAGGCACACGGCCATCTTATTCACAGGACTTTGAAGGAATCTCAGTGGATTTGTTGGGCTGACATTTATTGAGCACTTACTATGTACCAGGCACCGTGCTAAGCACTTTATGTGCTAATTCTCATAACACCCCTAAGATGCACTCCTATCATTATCCATGTTGGGGGTGACTAAAATGAGCATCGGCTCAGTAAAACTGCCCAGTCTCACAAGCAAAAACTGGAGGAGTGGGAAGTCACATCTAGGTATGTCTGTCTCTAGAATCTGAGCAGTTAATGCTGTGCTGGGCTGAAGTGAAAGTGTGTCAGCTGGGCCCAACGGAAGCAGCTAGCTGTTGACCTGGTGGGGGAGGCTGACACTACCTATCTGAAGGCTGAAGAACACCAAGTGACCACGACATCTTCCCAATAGGTGACAGGTCAGGGATGCCAAAGGGCACTTTATAAATAAATATCTAGCCAAGAGATCAGGTGAGAGGGAATAAAACCATGTCAATGCAAGTGGCGGTTACTTGCCCACTATCTCCACAGCTGGACGATGGGCATTCAATGATACCAATCACATGAGTTTGATTGGTTATCATTAATCAATTAAAACGCCAGGACATAACTGAATATGGAGAGCACATGAATTCTCTACCTGTAATAATTTAGGTTCAAATTTGGGTATTGTCCCAGGATTGCTTTCACCTCAAATTAGTTTTCATGAATACGGGTAAAAGAAATGAGTGAATAATATCCTACAGTAAACGCCCAAAATTTAAAATACAACAAATAAAACCTTTAAAAAGCCTTTTCTATACCTTACCCTGTGGAAAGCTACTCTTGGGAAATCACAGGATTAAAATGAACCTTACCAGTCATCTGGCCCAATTTTCCATCCTCTGAAAAACCTCCTACCTACAGCAGCCCTGCCAGGTGACATCTGGCTTCTGCCTGTCTTCCTAGTCCTGGGCACTCCCACTCTCACTCCAACAGACCCCTCCCCTGGGGAGCAGCCTCACTGACGGATGTTGTTCCTCTGAGTCCTCCCCTTTCATCTCACTTTGCCCCACGGAAATACAGTTTACACTTATTTTCTTTCCCCCTCAACGGTCTTCCTAATATTTGGAAACAGCAGGTCTTCCTGATTGCTTCTTTCTTGCAGGCTAAACATCCAAGTCACTGTTCTGTGACCACAGGCCCGGGTGCCAGGTTCCACCACAAGCTAAGTGTGTAAGACTCCAGGTAAAGTGTGATGAGCACCTAGTGAAGAGGGACTCCTGTCAATGATCAGGACACGGACATTCTTCACATCCTACGACTGTACTGCTTCCCTTGGCATTTGTTTGACATTGATGATTCCCCCTAGGCTTTTGGCTAATGAAAGCCCCTAGATCTTTTCTCAACTGACCTATTGTTGCTGAACAAGGTGAACTCCCAATCTGTGTTACTGACTAAAAATACATGTTGGTGAAATAAATTATTTTGCTAGCTATGATCCCATCAGGATCAGCATGAAACTGGTGGAAGCCAATTCTCACCATCTTTACAAAAATTACTCTACATATTTTCTTGGGATCATCTGGCACATGCAATCCAAAAAACAATTTGTTACTTACTCATTAGCATTCAAGCTAGCTGTGGCTCTGATGATCATGTAGCAGAGCGTGAGAGCACTGAGGAGGCCAAAACTGGCAATAATAAACCACTCTTCTGTTGACAAAGGAAAGGGAGGAAATCACTCTGGGGAGAAGGCTTAAGTCAAATCGATGTCAACATTTCCCTCAAATGCCACGAAGCAGACGTCAGCAGAGGTGTAGGCCAAGACTGGCCCAAGGAAGTGAAGCAGGAGGAGGTTTGCCACAGAGCTACTAACTGGAGAAGGTTAGTGGAAGTAGTGGTGAAAGCTGCAAGGGAGAAAGGAAAGCACGGCCCAAACGTTTCTTCCAGTTAAGGTCCTAAGGTTTGTGAGGAGTGTGGCCACTAAAAAGTGTGTAGTAAAATATGTAGATAAAATTGCACATGGACGTAGGTTTTTTAATTATTAATTTACGTGACAGTAAAGTAGACTACCCAGGCTTATACCCTTGCCTTCTTCATTTTGTCACTTCCGCATGGTTGTGTCGCTCATTCTTAGAGAAAGGCTTAGAAATATGGAGTAGTGGTTCCCAAAGGTCTTGTGGGTATTCCACCCCGTCCACGGGCTGGCCTTCCATGGCGTTGACGTACACGTTCTCTTCTCTCATACTTGGGCTTACTTATAGTTTGTACTTTAAAAAGACATCTTATTGGTGTCTTCTGGAAAGGACCACCCTCCACAACCCCACCGCTGGGAAGCAGCACTGGCTGTTCTGGCTTTGTCAAGCACCACCAGCAGGAAGGGTAGGTGGGTCACAAGCTCTGGTACACAGAATGCTAAGTGCTTTTATCTAGTCTCTCTCTAGGTCCAGGAGGTCCATTAACATTCTCCCATAACTTTTCAAAGTCTGTATTCTCAAGGTAACATTCTAAAAATGTTTACTGAGAACCTCAAAAATACCCTGAGAATCAATCTGATTTCCTAAAAAGTCTTAAATACAAAATATTTCCTAGAGTATACACTAAGTAGGGCTGGTTTAACAACATGCCACACATTAAAATTCCCTATATATCTGTAATAAGGCAGAGAGAAAAAATGTACACTTGGAATGCCAAATATTTATGTGCAAAACCTGTGTATAACATGGGTGTTTCTCAATCTGGTTTCCATTAATCTTACAACTATGCAAAACTGTGTGTGCCAAGGAATTTTTCTAGAAAAAGGTCATTATACTTTCATTGGATTGTAAAGGTAGAGATCTTCAAAAGCTTAAGAACTGTTCTTCAGGATTCCGAGTTGTTCTATGAGCGTTTCTCCGCCCACCTTGGTTTCTATCATTAAAATGCTCAGCAAACTCTCTCTTTTTGGCTAACAGTGCAGACACTCCTTCTCAGATCATAAATTCCTCATCAGTAGTGTGAGTTTATAACGTTTTTATTTAAGTCAAAATGAAGATTCAAGAACCCATACAAAACCCATCACTTTTACCCACAAGGAATTTAGGTGAGGAAAAATGTATACTGGTATTTAAAAAAATTAAGAGATGACTGGTCATCAATATCAAGAAGCTTAATACAGCATTCTTTCTTTTTTTTTCTTTGAGACTTTTATATATGATAAGCAGACTAACTTTTAGAACTTCAATTATGTCCCTGTTTCTGAATTTTGAACATACCATACATATATTCATGGCATTTCAGTTATAAACACCAGTAACCAAAAAGAAGTAAACACCGTTAAGCAAACACCCAATGGGCCCAGGGGTATTTTAACAGCAATCCACTGCAGCCGGAGTCTGGCAGCCTCTGTCTCCCCCGTGTGCATTAGCACAGTGCCTGGCACTCACTGGATGCTGCTGAAGGCACTGCAGCTGGAGTCTGGCGGCCTCTGTCTCCCCCGTGTGTATTAGCACAGTGCCTGGCACTCACTGGATGCTGGCTGAAGGCACTGCAGTTGCCATGGCACTACAGAGCTTTGAGGGAAAAGTAGAGGGAGCTTTGGTCTAATTTAACCACATGAATTTCATTTATTAACATGTAAATTCTGCTAAAGGTGAGCAATTTGATATACGAAGTAGTATTTTTTATCATCAAAACGTAAGATTTTGAAAGAACATTTCTATATAAAATATAATGGGGTCGTAGGTGCTCAATGAATGTCGATCAATGAAGGACACTCAGTAATACACAAACAACCTCGGTCTCCTTTATTACTACTAGACCAACTGTAAAAATCTAGACCATAAAACCTAAATGTCAAAGCAGGAAAACATGAACTCTTGTTAAAACAAATCACCAGGAAATGGTAAGAAAAGAGTCAAACTATATCAAAGAATAGCCTTTTAATTTTATAACTGAATGAAGCCTCCTTGAATTTGGACAAATGGCAGACTAAAACCTGGGAAATCATTCTCTAGTAATAATTTTTGGTTGGGTGAACACATGGACACTTCAACTGAACAGACCACATGAGTCTTGCTGTGTGAAGGGAAATACCTTCTGTGACAGCGCCCCCCTTTCACTGACTCCCAGAATTAGGCAGAGTCCCATGAGGCCCTGCGTTCAAAGCTACAGGCAAGCAACAGCATGTACTGGAAAAGGCAGCACCAGAGTGGTGACAGGAAGACGGGGTGAAGGTTGTTAGATGAAAAAATAACACATAAAGAATGGAATTGAAGAAAACAGCTGGCTTGTTACGGGGTGAACGTCAACAGGGCCCACACACACGCCTGCCAGCCCACTCATGCGGCTCTTCGGCATGGCAATCAGACACTCGGAGCGCTGCTTCTCTTCTCATCAACAGTTCAACAACCACGACGTTCATAACTAGCCCAGAGCGTTTTTTTTTTGGCTGAGGAAGATTCTTCCTGACCTAACATACATGCTGATCTTCCTCTATTTTTTAGTATGTGGGCCGCCAGCACAGCATGACCGCTAACAGAGCAGTGAAGGTCTGTACCCAGGAACCAAACCTGGGCTGCTGAAGCGGAGTGTGCCGAACTTAACCACTAGGCCACAGGGCCAGCCCCCAGAGCATTTTTTAAGGCAGATTACTCTTTGGCTTTTCTCCCACCTAGTGCACAATGATACCAAAGAGGTAAATGCCAAGATACCAAATTACATAAAAAGTGCAAAATAAGGTGAGCAGCAACAGGGCATCTCAACTGTTCCTAAAATAGTGAATTTCTGGGTTCAAAAGCTGGATTCGTTTTTTCTAGGTGGGCTGCAGCCTGGGAACTAGAGAGCACCGTGCTCAGTTATACAACACAGTCGAGACACTGCTGAGGCCCTGAGTCACATCTCAACACGCCTGTGTGCAGTGCAACCATTTCAAAACAGGTATATAAACAGCTACTAGGATAAACCTCTGAACGACCACCGCCAAACGGCAGCTATTCCTGTTATAGTTACACACAAATACACAAGCTCCTTATTGTAAAGAAAGTTTCATCATTTCAAATATCTGTGTTAACAAAAGTATCCATTGCTTTCTCAGTTACAGACTAAGTCATGTCCTGGTGACTGCCTCACATCTCCTCTGGAGCAGTCACCATACACCAAACATGAGCAGGAGATCCGCCTGTGCCTGGGCACGGGCCCACTTACTTGTTACTGCAATGTTGATCTCCCCTGTCCTGGGAGTGAGCTCCCCATCCTGAGGAAGAGGCGAGATCCCCGAAGTTCGAAGTGGTTCCAGGCCAAGGGAGTTGTCGCTGGTGAGGTCACCTAGGGCTGATCTTCGGTTAACTGCTTGGGTTCTGGTGAGCCTTTCCATGTCAAACGCCACGTTATCAGTACATGGCAAATTTGGCTGCAAAACAGTTCCAGATTAAAAGTACTTGTAAGAATAACAAATCTTTCTATAAAATTCTAAATGTCTGACACCCTGTTGAAGACTTTTAAGTTTTTCCATGTGAATTCCTCTCATTTCTCTCCCCACCTACCCTTTTCATTCTCACCCAAGTTTTTCTTTAAAAGAAAGAGATGATATCCTCCAAAAAATGGCACAAAGGAAAACCAAACTCCATTGCAGAAGTGAGAAAACTGGATACTTCATCTTTATACAGAAATGACAACCTTCTGTGGACATGGCTCACAGGGAGAGAGATTTATTAACATTAGTGTAGGGCTGGCAAACAGCAAAGTGTATCACTTTGGCTCTTATGTTAACGTTGAGTGACAGAAGCTAAGATAAAATACTCTTTCATCCTATTAACTTCTCTGTTAATGCCCCATTTATCTGGTAGTGAGTTTTGAAATATCTTCTACCTTTAAACACAAGTAGAGCACACGACCAAGAGCAGATCAGTGTTGAAAAGACTTTTGAACTGTAAAAAATAGCTGTTTCAAAACCTAAGCATCTACTCATGAAGGGAGAGGATTAGAGCTGCCTTGGGAACAAAGCTTAACAACTAGAAAGTGGCTATGACAGTATTCTGATGTAACAATACAGATATGTGGTTTCCCTAGCAACCTTTGGCTCTCTTAGCTGACAGCAGACAGCACATTAGAAGCAGAGCTGGGAAGGCTGGCTGAGAGAAGCCAGCAGAGAAGTGAGGGCCCACCAAACCCAGACAATGGCTGCCTGGGCAAGAGTCTGTTCTAGGTCACTCTACAGGCCAGTGAAAAAATACAGGACAGTGCAAGACCTGATGCTTACAATGACATCTGTTAGAGGAGGTTTATTATGCTAACTATATTTAAGGAACCATGATAGGTTATAATATAGTTTAGAAGGATTTTCATTAAAAACAAACAAACAAAAAAAAACAAAAAAACAAACAACAACCAAGAAGGCTAGAGGCAACAAAAGAGGCTAAGTTAATATTTTCCAAAGAGTCTACTACGTGCCAGGCATTATGGCAGATGTTCTAAGTTAAACTCCCCAACTGGGGTGACTTTGCCTCCCAGGGGACATTTGGCAACGTATGGAGACGTTAGTGATTGTGTGACCAGGGTGACATGCTACTGGCATTTAGTAGTAGAGGCCAGGGATGCTGCTAGACAGCCTGCGATGCAGAGGACGACCCCACCAGAAGGAATTATCCCGTCCAAAGTGTCAGTGGTGTTGAGGTGGAGAAACCTGTGTTAAACTATGATGTCACTGATGTGATCCCTGGAGATGGAGGATAAATGGGCGGTTACTGCCCAACTGGACTGCACCTAAACTGTCATCTGACAGCATATTTCAAATAGGACTATTTAGATCTTCTTTGGGTTGCAAAGCTAAAATGCAGAATTTATCTGTTGGGTCAAACTAACCTTTCTGCTCCATAAGGAGATTATTTTCACTTTTTTTGAGACCAGAAAGTATTTTATTTTCCTCTAAAAAGCAATAATCCTGGATATATACCTCTCTCGAGGAAGAAACTATAAGAAGTCTCCAAGGTCCTCGGTCAGTCAGCATGGGCTTTCCCGAAAGAGCCGAAGCTCTACACAGCACCTGACTCAAGCCCTGCCAGGCTATGAAAGGTGGGCACAGGGCTGGCACTGCCCACCTCCACTGCCTGAAACTGACCAAGGCCCAGGAGAGCAAAGCCAAATTCAAGAGCAAGGAACATGAGTGATGACAGCTTTACATTGTGCTGAATGCAAAAAAAATTTACTATTGGACCAGAGCCAAGTTTATATTTTATCCCTTTATTTTTTTTTAAAAAAGATACTGGAATAAAGGAAGATCACATTCTTCTCCCCGCCTCAGTTCTTCCCCACACACCCAGCACCTAGGAGAAGCAGCTTTCAAGAGGACAAGCACAGCTCTCTCTGTCCTCCTCCAGGAGTTCCCTGAGAGGGGCTGGGCTTTAAGTGTCCCAGAAGAGAGGCGCTGCTAGACTAACAGGCTACATGGCAAAGGAAGCCAGCGCTTTCTCGTGAGACTTAACCGTCTCCTTGGACTATGTTTAACAGGTTACACTTAGAGATGACACCACACGAAAGTAGTAACAAAATAGGAAACATACCACAATTCCCAGGGCCTTCAAAATATTAAGTTTGCACATAGGGCAGGTACAGTGTTCACTAAGCCAGGGATCCACGCAGGATTTGTGGAAAACATGCCTATAAAAAAATGGAGAATTGTACCACAAATTATATACTGAAAAACTGTTAGGCCAAAACCAAGGAAATGACATTTTTAGTCAGTCCATTTCCCCTCCTTTTAGGACATGTTCACAAGTCCCAAGAGGCAAATACTGGGGATGTCGTAAAGGCAGTTAGCAGAGAACTGAACCCGATCTTACAGCGACAGCACTGTATAATGAGAACCGAGAAGCAGTGTTTGGTTGTTTGGTCTTTTTATTCCACCAAATTCCAAAAAAGATTTGAGAGAATTTATTAAGAATGAAGATAATGAATCGTATCTTATAAATCAGTTATGTTTTCTATAATAGCTAAAGTAGAAAAATGGAATTTCAAAAAGATATTAAACAAGGGTTAAATGAAAAGAGCTCTCTGTATAACTATTAATCAGTTTCATGGAACTCTGTTTAAATGTCATTTAAAACATTGTTTAAACCTTTTAAAAGACTTCTAAGTAACCTATGTTAAATGTTTGTCAAGTTAGGGGTAGTCGCGGCTATTTTTAGGGGTGACCTGGGCTTGGGAAGCAGACAATGCTCAGCCAGCAGTTTTCAGCTAAAATGTTACGATGAGAGAGAGCATGGGTGCTGATTTTCTCTCATTCAGGAGAGTAGAAAGTCACCTTGGTGGGACCAGAAACAAGTCAGTCATGGAGGGACTTGTATTCTTATAAGAGACTCATGCCCTTTGGAAGGGAGAAAAGACTTTGAGGGAGCTGCAGAAATAATTTCTCAAGCAGCCCCAGAGGAGCTCTGAGAAGCTGAAAGTAAGCCACGTGGAAGCCCCAAACTTCTACCAAACAGGGATAGACATTCCCAGCACCTTTGGAGGAACCCGAATCGGAATCATGGGATAAGATCAAAGAAACTTTGAGAAAGATACCAAATTGAACCGTGGTATGCCTTTAAAGCTTTCATTGTTAATTTATAAATTATATATAAATTATATATAGCTGGCTAAAAATGCAGTTTTGATATAAAAAAGAGGTCTAGAAAACTCAGTTTTAATTGAGATTTGGAAGAAAAATTCGTGCTTACAGCTTCAACCTGAACAAAACATACCCACCCACCTTTCACCACTTGGTGGCCTTGTACCAATTTCTTTGAGGTAAGAATAAAGATCTCGAAGACTAAATTAACAATCTAGTCTGAAACTTGCAGATAATGCATAAACCAGAACCTCATTATCCCTGAAGGCTTTTATATAAACCTGAAGGTTTTTACTTAAGGGATCAAAGTCATCGACCCACTGGCGAGACTGAATTCATTTAGCGCACCAAAGGCACTGTCACATCTGCTTCTTGGTCCTCATATCCTCACACGAGAGTGCTTAGGGAGACGAAGGCCTCTACTACAGGACGCTACTGAAGAGGCATTCTCAGAGCACAGCTGTCAGACTACAGCCAGCTAACAAAGACTAGAACAAGGATTTTAATCCTTTCTGGGGATATACATCCCTTTAGGGTCTGACAGAGATGACAGATCCTCCTCCTTACGAGGGCACCTCTGCCTAATATCTGGCATATGTTTTCGGGAGGCCTATGGACCCCTGAGGGTTAGGTCAGTGTTGGGTAGGAGTAGGTGACTGGGAAAATGCTCTAGTTCTATGTAGGGTGGACAACGGACTTCGGCCAAGTGAAAGAAGAGAGGTTTTGTGATCTCTGAAGGGGCTGCTTTGGTGGTGGTTGGGGTGGGGATGGGGGCGACAGCTGACTCTCACCAGCTGTTTGTGGAGGCCGTGGTTTAAGCCAGCAGCAGACCTGCGGGACAGTGCTTTGGCTCTGGCCCTCCCACTCTCACCAGTGTTCTTGCTTCCCTCTCTTCTTACTGTCCTGCCTTTCTTTTCTATTACTGTTGATTCAGAAAGAACAAAATGGTATAATCCCATATTCAATTTTTAAAGCTGCATGAGTTGTGTGTTCTCTATCTCTTCCTTTAACTTTAGTTATAAATGGGTTTTTCTTATGTTGGGGTTCTTAATTGATTCCTTGCAGATTCGTTGATCTGAAAGAATGTGTTTGGCCCTCTGCTGTGGGAACTGTAAAGAGGGACAACAAAGACTAACTGGTCCTCAGGGACAAAGTGAGAATGCCTCCCTTCCTTGGCTGACTCAAAATCCGAAAGAAATATTTCTTTCTTTAAAAAATCTTTTCCTTTTGACTCATCCGTCCACCCCATTCATTGTTTTCTTACCCCAGACTCCACGCCAGTCAGCTAACTGCCCTCCTTCCCACACTCCCCACTCTGACGAGGCCATCTTTCCAGATTCCCCAACAGTCCAGCTTCTGTACCCTACCTGGAGACCAGCAGTCTAATTCCCACAGCACATCCTTCTCTTGTGAAAACAAAACCGAGCCTCTTTTCTCTTGACCCAGGGGCCCTTGTGGCACCAGCCCACCGCCCTCCTCAGGTTGCTGCTGGGGTTGTGGTGAGGAGCTGCCCTGCGCTTGTTGCTTCTTTCCTTCATCACCACTCTCGTGACTCTCTTGCTTCTATTTCCTCAGCTGTTTCAACAAGCATGACGTAGCCCTTCCCTTCCTCCTACGCAAAGTCCTGCTACTGCACGGTCTGAGCCTCGGTAAACTGCCCTCCTGACTCCTCGCTGTCTCCCGGAAAGCTGTAGGGTGGGGAGGAGCAGGGAAGGCTCTGTGTAATCTACTTCATGCGCTGTGTGGAGCAGTGAGTGAGAAACCGTACGTGGAATACTCAGAAAAGCACCAAGGCCATGCGAATGAACAGTTATCATTTAACACACACCCGGCAAAGTAACGTTCACGTTTCCCACAATATCCCAATAAATGGTCGGAACACCCGAGCAGCCCAGCACCAGAGAGCCTCCTACTAGCCTACAGGTAAACCACAAGGACCCAGACACCTCAGAGGGCGGCACCGGGGGCCAGCCAGACCTTGAAAAGTCCCTTCCTGCTGTTCTAAAAGACTCAAACCATAAAAGTACACACAAAGCAGAAAAGGGCCCAGCATATGTAGGGCTCAGTGGTATACTGGGACAGAAGGCAGGTGACGTGTTGAGGAACAGAGAAACGTGAAAAGGACAAGTATATCAGAGCTTGACCAAAAAAGCCCTTTATTCCTGTAAGAAATACTTTGGGATGCAGAATGCAAAACGTATAGAACATAAAAGGAATAAACCAATAACAACGAAATACAGTACCCTCTCTCCTACCTACTTCCCACCCAAGCCATAAACTAGAGAATGACCAGAACAATGGCTGGGGGTGGGGTGAGATGCCTACACTGAAGGTGAGTTGTTTTCACAGCTCTGCAGCCTCTCGGTGCCATGAAAGAACCTGGCAAATATAAAAGGACCCAGGATTATTACAGGTCAGAGACAAGCACTCTCTCTCCCTGGGTGGGACTGACAGCAGGTGCTGTTTAAACAGGCCCTCCCTTGGAAGCGAGGGCCTCACAGAAATGCCTCACCCACAGCCTGATGACTGACCCACTGAGCCCCACAGTGGCATCTTAGACATACGTTCATCCAAGCTGCAGCACTCTATTTCTGCAAAGTTTTTAACCACTAAAACATTCTGGGGGCCGGGCCCGTGGCCGAGTGGTTAGGTTTGTGCACTCGGCTTTGGTGGCCCAGGGTTCGCCAGTTCAGATCCTGAGCGCAGACCTAGCACTGTTCATCAAGCCATGCTGAGGTGGCATCCCACACAGCAGAGCCGGAAGGACCTACACCTAGAATATATAACTATGTGGTGGGGGGCTTCAGGGAGAAGAAGAAAAAAAATATAAGATTGGCAACAGATGTTAGCTCAGGGCCAATCTTTAAAAAAAAAAAAATTTCTGTGGCTGACCTTTAAATAAAAGAGGTCTAAATAAGGTGACAGTTTTTTAGTTTCTAAGATGTGTTGGCTAACATCCAAAAGATGATCAACTGTAATCAACTGACACAAGCAGGAGGTCCCAAGGCAATGCCAACTGTCATCTGTGCACTGTAAATTAACGTGACAGAAGACGAGGAGTAAAGGTCATGCAGCAAAAAGCCAGCACTCCATGAGAGGCTTGCCCTCTCCAGACAGAAAGTCTCAGTTCAGTCTCCAGAGAGGCCTGTTCAAATGAGGGAAAGACAGACACGAGCCACCTGGGCTCTTCTTCTTCCCTTCCTCAGGTGAAGACGGATAGTGACTGTGGATGCTTTTAAAAGTCTGGCTGTGCAGCGAGAGAAAGATAATCTGTGTATGACTCCACTCATATGAGGAATTTAAAACTATGGACCAAGAACAGTTTAGTGGATACCAGGGGAAAGGTGGGGTGGGGGGTGGGCACAAAGGGTGAAGTGATGCACCTACAACATGACTGACAAACATTAATGTACAATTGAAATTTCACAAGATTGTAACCTATCAATAACTCAATAAACAAACAAACAAACAAAAAAAACGATCGTCTTGCTTTCCCTGTTCTCTGGGGAAACTTGAAAAAAAAAAAAAAAGTCTGGTTGTGAAGCGGGAAGCTGGAGGGTAGTATTGGAGATGGGTTTGAGAGTTATGAAAACTGGAATTGGAAATGCTTGAAAGTGATAAAATGCTGTAAGTAAGACAGAAAGAACAAAAACTGGAGGGAGCAGATAGTCAACACAGCAAAGTCCTGGAGGAAGGGAAGGACTGGCATGCAGAGGTCCAGGTGGGAAGAGCACAGAATAAAGGAGGCCTCCTCCTCTGTCCTGACAGGAGGGAAGGCTGTAAGAGTGAGTCTGGAGGCTTTGGGTCAGGAAGCTAAGAGAACTTCAATTGTCTAACAGCCATTACTTTCTCTGTGAAGCTGATGGTGAAGTTATCTGCTGAGAGTGAGGAAGAAAGAGATGAGTTAAGGTATTTAAGGAGAACAAATATGCCCAGAAGTGCTGCTGTGAGGAACAGAGAGAGCTGACCAGGCAAAGAGAAGGGCTCTGTGCAGTGCCCCAGGCACAGCTGGGTCCACCAGAGCCCACGGGTGGCAAGCAGCTGGCAGAACTGCCAGGCAATGAGCTAAAGGAAGACAGCAGAGGCACACCTTGGCTTGGTTTCAAAGACAGCAGACAAAGAGCAAGGGCAAGGTATCCCAGGCAGAGGGAACAAAGTCAGCAGCAGCACAAGGCAACAGTTAATCTGAAGGTACTTGACAAGAACTCATTGGAAATAAGAGTGTTGGAGAAGATTTGGAGTAAAGATGAATATTTGTGTGAAGCTATCCTCTAGGTCAGTGGTCCTCAACTGGAGGCATTTGTGCTTGTCACAGCTGAGTGTGGGGACCTATTGGCATCTACTGCTTGGAGCCAGGATTCTGCTAAATATCCTGCCACACACAGGATAGCCCCCTCCCCAAAGAACTGTCTGGTCCCAAATGTCAACAATGCTAAGGCTGAAAAACCCTGCTCTGGGTCAAAAGTTGTCAACTCAGGTCCCACAGAGCATTGCTCAATGTGAAAGTTAATTTCTACTACACCTGAGAATCATGCTGTTGCTACCACTTCAGTTTTGCTGAGCAGGCTATGCAATATAGTTTAGAGAAAGCTACAGCTTACTGAGACTCCAGATGTTAAGAGTAAGAAACATCAAACCGCTCCAAAGCAAAAGGGGAAGTCTGATACACAGGCAGGGCAGGCATGAGCAGTGCCTTAACCACGGGTGCAAAGAAACGCTGTTAAGTTTACCAAAATTCTGATATTCAAACGCAGACCACAAACACAAAGGTTGAGACCACTCTTCTGGTGGTAGGTACAGCTATAGAAATGGCTAAGATCAACCAAAGTTTGGGACCTCAATGGAGGGTGTGGCCTTGCAGCATCAGAAGCACGCAGATACTTATTAAAAATAAACATGCCCGGCTCCACTTGGGATGTGTTTCTGAAAGCTCTCCACTGGCCCCGAGGTAGTCAGATTTGGAAAGCACTGGACCAAATTCAGAAAAAAAGGAGAACTCAAAATGAAACTGTGGAAAAGCCAATGCTTAGGGGACAGAGAGGATGGGGAGGAAACTTCCCACAATAACCTATTTCCTGCCGACGCTCCCTGGGAAGACACTTTGATTTAGGAATAACCAGGAATTGTTTGGAGGCCTTTGTTCTTAGGTCCCAGACAGTTCTGGGAGGCCCTGCACTGAAATGGGAAGACAGCGAATTGGGGAGACCGGGCTTCCTCCTGGTCATTCCGGTGTCAAAAGAAATCTGTGCAGATGAAAACATTTTCTAAAATCAGGTAAGAGCTGATGATGCTTTATAAAACATCCTACTGATCCTTTTCCTAATTGGTATGTATATTTCCTTTAGCCCCATGTTTTAGACTGTAAGTGACTACAGCTGAAGAAAAACTGGTCATTACATAATTTAATTTTCCATAGAAGAGCTTATATTGAGTTTTATAGATTTTCCTTTATATGTAAACTAGAATGACTTGACTTCTAGAATCTTGGTTTTCTGTTTCAGTATATAGAATTACTCTTAACTTCTACTATTTTTTTAAAAAACCAGAACTTTCTAGGCTCAAAATAGATTACTTTGTGAATAAGTAAAGTAATACCGGTAGCCTCATGGAGACACTTACTAATTATTTTATTCATGCACACGCTCTGCATTATCGGAAGGCTGAAGCTGTGTGGATGTGTTTTAAAGAAGAGGGGAGAAGGAAGAGGAAAAAATCTTTGATTTCAGGCTTCTCAATAGGTGGTTTCATGTTTTTCCAGTTAGCACTCAGAACTGTGTATCTTATTGTTTCACATCCCCAGCTTGGGACAGCACCATGGGAAAAATCAACAGACTTATGAAGCAAATGTGCTCTTTTCAGGGCATCAAGTTCAGGAGAACACCCTCCTTTGGGAAGGAGGTATGTGGCCTCATGTAAGAAGTACCAACATTAAAGGCAGACCTTCATATCGGCTCTGCCATTTCTGAATTGTGTGACTCCAGCAGCTACTATTGGTTTCACTACCCTTCACTGCACAATGGGGAGAAAAACACTAACCCTCTTACAGGAGAGAGAAACGTAAACTGCACAGAGCAGAGTCCCCGACGAGGAGCAGGCGTGCAGCACATATCAGTCCTCCCGACTGTGCATAACCCAGGTTCACAAAAAGACTTACTCCAAGTCCCTAGAGTTCTGGTCCCCAGAGCCAAGCGAACACTGATGAGGCTTTACTGGATGGTCTAGTGATGTACTCTGATTTAAGAAGGAGAGGAACAGCAGATAGTTCTGAAACCCACAGAAGTCAGAGCATTAAAAACTTTTCACATTAATGACCTTAGGCTGTGGATGTGTCCAGAGTTTGTGCCCTGTGTTTCTCATATAGAGAAAGGCTTGTGCAATCAGTTCTTGCTGAGGGAGCACGGCTCACTGTGAACTGCAACTCCTGCTATGTACACTGTGCAGCTGGGCCTCTGCCTGCCAGAAAACCACCGAGTAGTTCTCAAAAGCAAGGGAGCGACCCACTCTGAAAGGGAGACATACAAACTACGTTAGCATCATTCTTTTTTAACGAAGGAAGCTGACATACTTGCAGGGGAGAATCCGGACAACGTCATTCTGCTTATAGCTCTCTATGCAGACTGCGCAATGATCAAAGTCTGGGTCTGTTTCCTGAAATGAAAAGCACAGGGACAAAAGCCATACGCTAAGGTTAAAAGTACATAAATGGAGGAGATACAACCTAGCTAAGAATTTTCCTGTGGCAACTATGGTAAACAAGTGACTATAAAGTGAAAGGTTAAAAAAAACTTAATGTTTCCATGGGCTTAACTATAAAAATTACATCTAAGCCAATCTATTTTGTTTTTAAACTGTGTTGTGACAAGTAATACTAATTCTGTTTGTGAAACTTCCTAGAAGTCAGAATTCTAATTTTTATCAAGATTCAAATCAGCTATCACCTTGGACCACTCTGATACCCTCTCCCCACCACTGCTGCATCACTACTTGGGTCTAATGGGTCACACTGCACACCCCTCCACAGTTTGGGTACTCATTAGGAGGCTCATCTGACCACATGGCTAAGTATAGGCAGCAGAGATGATGAGCCCCCAAAAGACTGCTATCTGGAGACCTGCCCCAAGGATGGGAGCTGCGCATCTGGTCACAGATTTGGGGTAGAGAACAGCCGTTGGCTCAGCTCAGTACTGGGTCCTTATCAAGTATCACTCAGAGTAACTGATTTCCTTCCTCCTCTGGACTGAGGAGGGGTTCCCCTGAACTGTCATGAAACAGAGCACTACCAGGAACCTAAGCCAGGAAAGGTGAGACTCTTTGCTGTGCCAGTGTCACTTAGACCGAAACTCAGTGGAACAACTCTTGGCAGGTGCAGGAGGTACAAACTAAGAAGGCGTTGGTTTTAATAAGGAAAGGGTTTTGTGCTAGCCTGGGGTAGGTTAGACCAGCTCCAGGGAATTTCAAATCAACGTGACAACTGAAAGCCCACCAGGCCAAGAAAGCACTGACACAGCGACCACTTCCCTCTGGTTGCAGTGCTGCTTACATTCTCTGCAAGAGTGTCTACTTTCTTCTTTCCTTAGTGTACAGTCAAGTTCACTGAAAATGTCTCCACTTTCCGGAGCAGTGTCAAAGAAAACTAGCTGTGGTGGTGTTAAGGCAGTGGGAATAAAAACGAGTAAAGTCGAGAAAGTGGTAAAACTTAGGAGGACAGAAAATCATCGAAATTATCCTTGCAGATTCTTTTTTTAAAATATTAGAGTTGGGCGTGGGGTAGAAGACAGTTTTGCTTTTACGCCTTCAGAGATGCAGTATTTTCACTTTGGATAACCTTGGCTGTATCAAATGGAGGTGTAACTTTAAGCTGCTGTTCTGTCTTACAGAGCAGAAGCAGGGCTCTGCCGTAACTTGAGAGACGACTGGGGAATGGTGGTGGGCGGGCTCAGCCGTAGCCTGTCACTGCCTCTGGTTCTGCACCCCCTAGCCACCAGGCCCAATCCTGACTCACTGTGCCCTTCTTTCAAACTGCTCAGCACAGAAAGCACCTTGTTGACTGACACTCCCTTGAAATGTGGGTCTCCAGTTCTCCATTTAATTGGTGAAGGAATAAAAACACAAAGGAGATGTGGCAAAGTCTCAGGAAGCATAGGAAGAGGATGCATATTCCTGTCTACTTAGTGCATCAACTGCCCCATTAGAGTTCTTCCCTTTAAAAGTATGCTAGGTTTTAGCAGAACGCTGTTGAACAGCACAGCCAGCGTAACTATAAGCAGCCCGGTGAAGCAAATAATGGCAAGAGCCTTTAAAGTCCAGGAAAGTTAGAGAACTGTATGGAAGGCCTCCAAATGACAGGCACACTAAGAATAAGATTTCAAAGAGACACTGGTTTAAAATGCAGCATTATATAGTACACTCAGAGAAAAATAATACTCTAACAAAGGAGACACGGATGATTAGTGCATATTCTCTCCCACCAACTCAAAAGCAAAACTACTTTTTATTTTACTATGTTTTTTGATGAGGAAGATTGGTCCTGAGCTAACATCTGCCGCCAATCTTCCTCTTTTTGCTTGAGGAAGACTGTCCCCAAGCTAACATCTATGCTAATCTTCCTCTATTTTTTGTACGTGGGATGCCACCACTGCATGGCTTGATGAGTAATGTGTAACTCTATGTCTGGGATCTGAACCTGTGAACCCCAGGCCACCAAGTGACCTTTATCACTACACCACTGGGCTGGCCCCTTACTTTTTATTTTTATAGTGTTAGAAGTTATTTCATTACTGTACCTTATCGCCCTTTTTTACTGTTCTGGTTGTCAATTTGCTGATGGCTTTCTTGGCTGCATCTCCAAGACGACGCTGTAAAAATTGCAAAGAAAAACAGACATACAAGTGCAAGATCTCTGGATGATGTTCTTTATTTTAAAATAATTATATGTATAAAGTCCCTATTGTCTTACATCATTCTCCATGTCATATCATATGGGAGAATTCTAAAAAAGCTATTAAAAAATTAGAAAAACTGGCAGTTTTCCCATAGATTCAGATTCTGGTTGAATAATTAAAAGGTGCACACAGTGAAAAAGCCAGGTGTTATAACTACTACTGCATTTTGTAGTTAATAAACATTTGAAGTATTACAGCATTATCAAAATCTACTTCTTGTATATGTCAGACACTATTAGATGTATAACTCTGTCTTAGTAAAAGGACACTTCAAAGCCCCTTGAAATTGTTTATCCTACCACCATCTGCTATGATAATGCTCTTTGATCTAGGAAGGTGCACTGACCTTCCAGAGGTGAGTTATGCTCATTTATCTGAGAGGGCCAAGTCAGGGAATCTCTAAGGCTGGATTTAACCAACATTTTACCAGCTATTGCTAGCATCGCTAGACACCAAGGACCCAAAGACGAAAAGACAGTGTACTCTTCATCTTGAAAAGCCAACTGAATTGGGGAACAGACTAGTAAACACATTTTAATAGGACATTGTAGAGCAGAGCATGCCCAAGTGATGTGGCAGCACAAAGGAGGCCACCTAACGCAGGCAGCGGGGCTCAGGCAGAGGAGGAACATCAGGGAAGGCTTTGAGGAAACGATGCCTGAGCTAAGACTTGGACAACTGAGTAGGAAGGAGTTAGATAAGGAAAGCATAGGCATCCTTTCTGGACAAAAGAATAGTCAAGTAAAGACAAATAGGTAGGACGCACAGGGATGTGAAAGAAATTATAGTTTGATATACCTAGGCTGAGTATATATTTTATTGTTCAAATACAATGCTCTGAGAGTCAGAGAGCCCTATTAACAATTACCCTGGGAAAACAGGTGCAAACAGGCACTGGGACAGATGGTCACCCTACACATAACCAGATCCTGAACTGTGAGCAGAGGAGGTGCTGAGGCTGAAGGAAATTGTGGGGGCTATCCTCAGGATAAAAAAAAAAAAATCATAAAAACATAAAAATTTTAGGGGAATTTAAAAACACACAGAAGAAAACAATAATTTAATGAACCTCTAAGTATCCACCATCCAGCTTCAAGTGTCAATATTTTACCCATATTTTCATCTGTAAGAGGGAACCCCTTTTTATGGTGCTGGAGGATTTCAAAGCACATCACAAGCATTGAATTATTTCACCCATAGAGTCTTCATTACGTCTCTCTAATAGGTATGGGCTTTGATTGGTGCCGTCTTATCTAACAAAACCAACAATAATTAATCAACAATATCAAATACTCAGACTATACTACAATATCCCTAGTTGTCTCCAGAACGGCTTATTTGAATCAGGATACAAAGGATACAGAGCCTTTGGTTGCTATGCCTCTCAAGTCTCTTTTAACCTGGAAGAATCCCCTCTATCATATATATATATATATAACTGCCTTAGGGAGATATAGTTGACTTAAAATAAACTGCAAATATTTAAAGTGCATAATCTGATGTTTTGACATGACCCATGAAACCATCATTAAGATCAAGACAGTGTATCTTATCTATCATCCCGGCAACTTCCTCGTGCCTCTTCCTAATCCCCTCTTCCCATCACCCTTTCACCCTATCCCCCATGACCCACTTTCTGCTACTATAGTTTGTATTTTTGAGTTTTACATAAATGAAATGATACAGTATGAACTATTTTGTGTATGGTTTCTTTCATTTAGCATAATTATCTTGAAATTAATCCATGTGGTTCCATGTATCAACATTTCATTTCTTTCTTATGCTATGTAGTATCCCGTTATATAGATACACCGAAATTTATTTTTCACCTGTTGATGGGACATTTGCATTGTTTTCCAGTTTTTGGCTGCAATGAATAAAGCTGAAAACAACATTTTTTACTTACACAAGTCCCTGTTAAGGACGTATGTTTTTTCCTCCAGGGTAAATACCTATGAAGTAGGGAAGACTAGCTAACATGGTAGGCGTGTTTGACTTTTTAAGAGACTGCCAAAATGTTTTCCAAAGTGAGTGTACCATTTTACATTTCCACTAGCAGTGTATGAAAACCCAGTTCCTCCAATCCTCACCAACCCTTGATACAGCCAGTCTTCGTCATCTGATTGTAACCACTCTTAATAGGTGTGTAGAGGAATCTCGTTGTGGTTTTAATTTGCATTTCCCTAATTATGAGTGATGCTGAGTATATTTTCATGCACTTATTGGTCATCTGCATATCTTCTTGGGTGAAGTGTCTGTTCAAATTTTTTACCCATTTTTCTACTGAGGTTTTGTCTTCTTATTGACGAGAGTATTTTACATATTCTAGATACAACTCCTTTTGCATATATTTTCTCTCACTCTGTGGCAGAAGTTTTTAATTTTGATGAATTATCAATTTTTCATTTGTGGATTGTACTCTGGTGTCATATCTAAGTAATTTTTGCCTATCGCAAGGTTACAAGATTTTCCCCTATTTTCTTTTCTAGAAGTTTTATCGTTGTAGGCTTTACATGCAGTTCTCTGATCTATTTTGAATTAATTTGGCATGGTATGAGATATTGTTTAAAGTTCTTTTTTTCGCCCATGATATACAATTGTCTCAGCACCATTTGTTGAAAAGGCTGTCCTTTCTCCACTGAATTGCCTTTGCACATTTGGCAAAAATCAGATGCCCATAAATGTGTGGATCTAAGTCTGAACACTATTTTATACCATATATCTGTCTACCATTAAGCAAGTATCAGTCATGATTTCTGTAGCTTTTTAACAAACTTGAAATCAGGCAGTGTTAATCTTCCAACTTTTTCCTTCTTTTCCAACATCCTTTCAGTTGTTCTTGATCCTCTGCATTCCCCTAAGAATCTCAGGTTCAGCTTGCTAACTTCCACTTAAAAAGCCATCTGAGATCTACGTTGGGATTGCACCGAATGTGTAAAACAATTTGGGGAGAAGTGACATCTTAACAATATTGAGTCTTCCCTTGAACGCTGTATCCTCCATCTATTTAGTTCTTGTTTAACTTCTCGCAGCAAAATTTTATGTGAATTTCACTGTACAGGTTCTTGCACATCTTTTATCAAATCTATTTCTAATAATTTCCTGTTTATGCTATTTCCTGTTTGATGCTAATGAAAACGGTATTTTTTTAAAAAAATTCAATTCTCATTCATTGCTTGTATAGAAATAAAATTGATTTTTGTAGATTGATCTTATATCTCCCAATGTTGCTAAACTCATTTGTTAGTTCTAGCAGCTTGCTTATAGACTCCATCAAATTTTCTACATAGTCATCTATGAATGAAGATGGTTTTTACTTCTTCATTTCTAATATGGGTATAATGGTAGCTGTCAGGTTTTCATAGACGCCTCTCATCAGTTTAAGAAAGTTGCCTTTTATTCCTAGTTTGCTAAAGTTTTAAAATCAAGAACAGATGTTAGATTTTGGCAAATGTTTTTTCCGCATGTATTGAGATCGTATGGGTTTCCTTTTTGTCTGATAATATGGTAAATTACAGTGATTAGATTTTTAATGTTAAATCAGCCTCGCATTCCTAGGATAAACACCACCTGGTCATGATGAATTAACCTTTTTACAGCACCACCTGGTCATGATGAATTAACCGTTTTACATATTGTTGGATATGATTTGCTAAAATTTTGTTTAGAATTTTTGCATCTAGGTTCAAGAAGGATTCTGGTCTTCAGTTTTCTGTTTTGTAATGTTTTTGACTAGTTTTGGTATCAAGATGATGCTGGCTTTATAGAATGAAACGTTAGGTATTCCTGCCATTCCAATTTTCCATAGTTTGTGTAGAATTGCTATTATTTCTTCCTTAAATGTTTGGTAGAATTCACCAGAAACCATCTGCCTAGAGCTTTCTTTTTTTGGAAGATTTTAAACTACACAGGCAATTTCCTTGATAGATATAGGGCTATTTAACTTATCTATTCATCTTGACTGAGCTCTGGTCTTTAGCCTTTCATAGAATTTGTCCATTTCACTGAAGTTGTCAAATTTATTAGCATAGAGTTGTTCACAATATTCCCCTATTATCCTTATAATCTGAGGTGATGTCATCTCTCTCATTTTTGATATTGCTAATTTGTGCCTGCTCTCTTTTTCTCCTGATGACCTTGGCCAGAGGCTTATCAATTTTATTGATCTTCTCTAAGAACCAGATCCTGAAGTCATTGATTTTGTTCACCGACTGCTGCTCTGATCTTTATTGTTTCCTTTCTTCCGCTTACTTTGGGTTTAATTTGCTCTTCTTTCCCCAGTTTCTCAGGGTGTAAGCTGAGAGTGTTAATTTCAGACTTTTCATCTTTTTTCATACAGGCACTGCTTTAGTGGCATCTTCAACATTTTGATATATTGTGTTTTCACCTTCACTAGTTCAAATGACTTTCTAATTTCCCTTTTGACTTTATCCCTTGGGTTATTTAGAGGTTAGTTTCTTAATATGTGAGAGTTTTCCAGAGATTTTCCAGTTATTGATTTCTAATTTAATTCCAAGTGATCAGAGAATATATTTTTTTATGACTTGAATCCTTTTAAACTTATTGAGACTTGTTTTATGGCTCAGAGTACACTTTACAAGAATGGTATTCTGCTTTTGTTGTAGTGCTTTATGAACGTCAATCAGATGAAGTTAATTGACTATGTCGTTCAAATCTTTTACATGCTCATTGATTTTCTGTCTACTTATTCTTTCAACTACTGAGAGAAGGGTACTGAAATCTGACTCTAACTGCAGGTTTCTCCATTTCTCACTGCAGTTCTATCAGTTTTCATTTCGCATTAGTTTGAACCTTTGTTATTAAGTGCCTGGAAACTCTCTCAAAACATTAAGCTGGATAATCTTAGGGCTGATCTCTTTTGTTTCCCATTTCTTAGGGATCATTGGCCTTTG